GACCAATGATTTATTTATTGCAAATACCTTTTTTCAACAACATAAACAGCCACTTTATAAGTGGACCTCACCAGACAGAATACACAGAAATCAAATGGACTACATCAATGGAAAGAGGTGACAGACAAGCTCCATATCATCAGTCAAAATGAGGTTAGGAGTTGACTCTGGAACAGACAGACCATCAATTGCTCATATGCTAGTTCAAGCTGAAGCTAAAGAAAATTAAAACAATTCCAGAAGAGCCAAAATATGACCTTGATTATATCTCACCTGAATTTAGAGATCATTTGAAGAAGAGATTTGATGCACTAAACACCAATCACGAAAGACCAGACCAGTTGTGGGATGATATCAAGAACAACATACATGAAGAAAACAAAAGGTCATTTAAAAGACAGGGAAGGAAAAGAAGACCAAAATGGATGTCAGAAGAAACTCTGAAACTTGCTCTTGAACACAGAGTAGCTAAAGCAAATGGAAGACATGATGAAATAAAAGACCTAAACAGAAGATTTCAAAGGGTGGCTTGAGAAGACAAAGTAAAGTATTATAATGAAATGTGCAAAGACCTGGAATTAGAAAACCAAAAGGGAAGAACGTACTTGGCATCTCTTAAGCTGAAAGAACTGAAGAAAACATTCAAGCTTCGAACTGCAATACTAAAGGATTCTAATAGCAAAATACTGAATGATGCCAGAAACATCACAAGATGGAAGGAATATAGAGACACTGTACCAAAATGAATTGGTGAATGCCCAACCATTTCAGGAGGTAGCATATGATCAAGAACTAATGGTATCGAAGGAAGAAGTTCAAGCTGCACTGAAGGAATTAACAAAAAATAGGGAAGACTCCAGGAATTGATGGAATACTCACTGAGATATTTCCACAAATGGATGCAGTGCTGCAAATTGCTTATTTTTTTATGCCAAGATATTTGGAAGAAAGCTACCTGTGCAACTAACTGGAAAAGACTTATGCCCATTCCAAAAAAAAGGTGATCTAACAGAATGTAGAAATTATTGAACAGTATCACTAATGTCATATGCAAGTAAAATTTTGATGAAGACAGTTCAGAAACAGTTGCAGCAGTATATTGAAAGGGAAACATCTAGAAGTTCAAGTTGAATTCAGAAGAGGACATGCAATGGGGGATTATCACTGCTGATGTCAGATGGATCTTGGCTAAAAGCAAAGAATACCAGAAAAAGGTTTATCAGTATTTTATTGACTATGAAAAGGTATTCAACTGCACGGATTATAACAAATTATGGATAATATTGCAAAGAATGGGAATTCAGAACACTTGATTGTGCTCATGAGGAACCTATACATAAACCAAAAGGCTGTCGTTCAAACAGAACAAGGGGATACTGCATTTTTCAGAATCAGGAAAGGTGTGCATCAGGTTGTATCCTTTCATCATACTTATTCAGTATGTATGCTGAGCAAAAAACCTGACAAGTTGGTCTTTATGAAGAAAACTGTGGCATCAGGATTGAAGGAAGACTCATTAACAACCTGTGACATGCTGATGGCATAACCTTGCATGCTGAAAGTGAACTTGAAGCACTTACTGTTGAAGACCAAAGACTACAGTCTTCAGTATAGATAACACCTTAACATAAAGAAAACAAAAATCCTCACAACTGGACCACTAAGCAATATCATGATAAATAGAAAAAGTTTGAAGTTGTTAAAGATGTCATTTTACTTGGATCCACAATCAACAGCCATGGAAATAGCAGTAAAGAAATCAAATGTCATATAGCATTGAGCAAATCTGCTGCAAAAGATCCCTTTAAAGCATTAAAGAGAAAGATGTCACTGAAAAATAAGATGTGCTTAACCCAAGTCATAAGGAGCTCTGATAGCGTAGTGCCTAAGGTACTTGACTACTAACCCGAAGGCTGGCAGTTCAAACCTACCAGCCACTCCTCGGAAGGAAGGTTAGGCAATCTACTTCTGTAGTGATACTACCTCAGAAACCTGAGGAGGGGTCACTATGAGTCAGGTCTCACTCGATGGCACATAACTAAAGCAACCCAAGCCATGGTATTTTCAAACATCTCATATGCATGTAAAAGCTGGATGGACAATGAATAAGGAAGGCTGAAGATGACATGCTGCCTCTGAATTGTGGTGCTGGGAAAGAATATGGAAAATACCATGGACTATCAGAAGAACATGTAAATCTGTCCTTGAAGAAGTACAGCTGGAATGCTCTTTAAAAGCAAGAATGGCCAGACTTTGTCTTATCTACTTTGGTCATATTGTTAGAAGTGACCAGCACTTGGTGAAGGATATCGTGCTTGGTAAAGCAGTGGGTCAGTATAAAAGTGGAAGACTGCTGATGAGATGGATTGATACAGTTACTGCAATGATGGGCTCAAGCACAGCAAGGACTGTGAGGATGGCACAGGACTGGGTAGTGTTCATTCTGTTGTACACAAGGGTCTCTATGACTCGGAGCTGGCTTGATGGCAGCTAATAACAACAATCTTAAGTTCTACGGCAATTTGCATTTGATAGGAATACGTTCTTATTCTAATTTGACTTCTTTGGAAAGAAAATACAAATTTTAAACCAATGAAGCAATCAGTTTCAAGGTATAGAGAGAGGGTGGTCTTTTATCAGATATCTTGACAGTGTTTTTCAAACTATAACCCCCAAAGATTCTGGTCCTCCTTGCCTTTGAGAAAGCACCTTATTCCTCAGGGAAGGACTGCCTAGTAGGGGAAATACATATTAAGCCATCAGATCAAAGTTTAAAAAATCACACCAAACAACAATTTCTCTTATTAGGAGCCCAGGGAGAGCAGTGGTTAAGCACTCAGCTGTAGTTTGAACCCACCAGCAGCTCTGTGGGAGAAAGATGTGGTAGTCTGCTTGCATAAAGATTTTAGCCTTGGAAACCTTATGAGGTTCCTACTCTGTCCTATAGGATTGCTATGAGTCAGAATCTACTCAGTGGCCCCCGGTTTTAGTTTATGAGTGTTATGAAGGAAAAACATGGGGTGCTGTGATAGCCTATAGAACTGGGAGCCTCATCAGATTTGAGAGAGAAGTTGCTAGGGGAGTTTCTGAGAAAGAAACATCTGAGCTGAGATAGGAAGGAAGTTCTGAAAGGGGGTGGTAGGTTAGAGCGAGGAAGAAGTCTGTTACAGAGAGAAGTACTAACAACTACAAACTACTCTGAGGCAGAAGGGATCAGGTAAAGAGGGCCAAGGTAGCTTCAGTAGTATGAGGGGTTCTCAGGTGAAGAGAGACAGGAGGGGATAAGGGCAGATGCAGCACTGGCAGTTATTTTAATGATTGGGTCACCCTGACTGTAGTATGTGTTTAGGGGTACCCAACAGTGATAAAGGGAGAACTTGTTAGCATAAAAGGAAAGAGAAAATTTTATTTTCAAATCTGCTCCTTTTTTTTTGTAGAATATAATACACTGTTTGATAGGAAATGTCAATATTAATACAGAATAAGTGACAGCAGTGCCTCTGAAACATGCAGTGACACATTCTCACCAAGAACTGACAAAACAGTTTTGACAACTGGTATTTTTCTAACATAAACATAAAAAGTTAGATCCTTTAAATAGAAGCAAAAACTATAGAATTCTAAGACCTTTCTCATTTCATTTATCAATGTAGGAGGTGCTTTTGTTCATTCTAAAAATGTCAGAACTATGATAAAATATGCGTGCCTTCTATCTTTGTATAGTGATCAATTAACAAGCTTTTGCTATTGTTTTTAGGTGCCATCAAGTGAATTTTCAACTCAAAGCAACCCCAGACAGAACAGAATAGCCCCATATGGTCTGTTAGGCTGTGATCTTTACAGATCACCAGGCTTTTCTTCCATGGAGCCACTGGGTGGATTTGAAGCATAAACCTTTTGGTTAGTAGCTGAGCACTTAATTTTTGCACCATCAGGGCTCCTAACAAGTCTTTACTGGGGATCAAGTATACGGCAGATATTTGGCGATAAAGTTTTATCAGGTCTCCCATTTCAACACAGGCATTTCTGTCCTAGCTGACTGGTTACAATGTGAGATGTCGAGCACATACATAGTACTCAATAATAACAGTAATAATGGTCAGGCCAATACTTACACACACTTATTGTTTTAAGTTTTTTATATAATGACTTAATTCTCACACTTAATACTAAGTGTGAGGTAGGTTCTATTATAACCCTATTTAACATAAGGAAACAGAGGCATAGAAAAGTGTAGTAACTTGCCTGACATTACCATCTAGGAGGCCATGGGGCTGGGACTCAAACATAGGCAGTCAGATCCAGAATCCATTCCTAGCAATATATGGGACTGATATGGGAGAGGTTCTATTTCAAAAGGATATGCTCTAAACTGTAAACTATCGTTATCTCAGGAATGAGTTTTCTTTTTTAGGAAAGAAATGACTCACTTTCCTTAAAAGTCTGTGTTGCTTTAATGTCTTACTGTTAGCATATATTACATATATTCACACATATAAATTCTAAAAATATAAAGTTAGAAAACAAACTTAGCACATATGTATCAATGCTAGGGCATGCACCTCAGATTCAAAGACTGTTCTGCCCTAAGAAGTAACTGTAAAGCTAATAAGGAAAATAAAAAATAGCAATGTAATATGAGTCATAAGAAAAAACAAACAGGTGTGTTTTGAAGAGATGATAAAACAATTGTTAAAAGATAGTACAAGTAGAAAAATCCTTGTCTCTTTTTCAGAGTACTTATGTTGATCAAAATTATTGTATTTAGATCTCTTTATTATGTTTAACAAGTTGAATCACATAATTACTTTATATAAACTGTGTCTGGGAATATGGTTCACAGATTTTGTCATGACAAAAAACACAAGTATGGCCTATTAGTATACAAGAATATCTAGCCACTCTCACAGTCAAAGTGAATCACAGGCAAGGACATAAAGTCCGAGAGGTTCCGGCATTGCAGTCAATGCATTTCAGCCCATAAAGAGAAGCCACAATACCTTCAACAGAGGGTGGACGTCATCTTTATTGGAGTGTCCATCTATTTGAGTTACCCTGTATTCTAACCACTGTTGAACGACTGCTTTTTCTTCTGCAGTATTTCCAAGCAAATATTCTTTGTTGGCTTGCTTGACTAAATGAGCTGCTATTGTAGTCAATCCCGTTAGACTTGGACCATTGTTTGTTTGAAGAACCGGAATCTTAAAAAAAAAAAAAAAAAAAAGTCCTTCAGAGCAATTTCAAAAATAAATACCATAATGACTATAGGTTTTAAGTAATGGGTAAAACTCTCAACTGCTTTTTAAACACTCTATTTTAGTCCAGTGTACCAAATTACATGTAATTCAAAGTCAGGAAATCTAAGTTATATAATTCACAATCTGATGATACTTGATGATAGAACTGGTAATAGCATTGCAAACAATCACTAAATTAATGTTTCTACAGAAATTACATACCATGAGAACACTGTTATTTATAATTGTACATGTACAAGAAGATAAAGTAGAGATCCTCATTAATAATAAATTTCAATCTAGATTAAACCCATTGCCATTGAGTCAATTCCGACTCATAATGAGCCAATGTATTATAGAGTAGATATGCTCCACTGTTTTTTTTTTTTTATTATTATTCTTTTATTATACTTTCTTTTCTTTAATTGTGATTTGGGTGAAAGTTTATAGAGGAAATTGGTTTTCCATTCAACAATTCGTATGTATTTTGTTTTGTGACATTCACTCCAATCCTCACAATGTAACAGCACTCTTCCCACCTCCTCCCAGTGTTTACCATTTCCCTTCATCCTTCTTTCCTTTCCTGTCCTGCCTTCTGAGCTTTATCCCTGGGCAAATGCTGCCCTTGTGATCTCATATGGTTGACTGTTCTACTGAGCATACCCTCCTGGTATTATTGTTCTCCTCATAGGCCTATTGTTTAGCTGAAAGTTGAGTCACCAGGGTTGATTTCAGCACCTAGCTTGAAGGGTGTCTGAGGGCCATTGTGATAGTAGGAGCTGTGTGTCAACTTGGCTGGATCACAATTCTTTGTGGTTTAAGCAGTTGTGATGTGGTTATTCCCATGATGGGATCAGATGTGTATGTTCTGGGCAGCCAATCCGTTGAAAGGGCGTTTCCCTATGAGTGTGGCCTGCTTCCAGTATATTTATGGACATCCTGGGAAAAGAGACACTTCTGTGGATCCTGTTGTGCTGCCTACAACTGTCTGTGAGCAAACAATCCACCATTCGGCCTGGAGATCTTGGATTCGTCATTTGTTGGAGTCAACAGCCAGTACCCTGCTTGCCAACCTTGAGCTCCTCAGCCCCTAAAGCTGCGTTGAGTTGGGAAAAGCCTCCAGCTTGACGTTTGATCTAAGAACTTTGGACTTGCCAGCTTCTATATGTGTGTGAGCCGTTTTCCTAAGATAAATTTCTCTTTTTCTCTCTATATAAGCTTTACTGGTTTTGTTTCTCTAGAGAACCCAGTCTAACACATTTGGTACCAAGATCTCATGTCTGGAATACAGGAGATTCTTTAGGATTTCTCTTAGTACTACCATGCCCTGTGATTAAAGTCAGTGGAAAATTACAGTAACCCAATCCTCATATGACTGCTAATGGCCCAGACCCTTCAGGAATGAAGGTTTGGGTCACCCTACCAGGAAAAGAACCACGATCAGCTGAGGTGCTTGCTGAGGGCAAGGGAAATATAGAATGGGTGGTGGTAGAAGGTAGTTCTGAATATCAGCTACAACCACATGACCAATTGCAAAAATGAGGACTGTGATATATTTCTTCATTGTATATGTGCATCAAATATTTTTGTTTCCTTCTGTTATGAACTGCGACATGTAAATAAGGTTAATACATTTCGGTTGTACGTATGTTACCGTATCACATTAGGCGCAAATATGACTTTATAATTGTCCTTATTTAGAGATTATATATGGTTAAGAAGATGTGTACAACTGCCAAGTGGACAAGGGGTGGACTGTGATAGTTGGAGCTGTGTGTCAACTTGGCTGGACCACAATTCTTTGTGGTTTAAGCAGTTGTGATGTGGTTATTCCCATGATAGGACCAGATGTATATGTTTTGAGCAGCCAATCCATTGAAAGGGAGTTTCCCTAGTGGTGTGGCCTCCTTCCAGTATATTTATGGACATCCTGGGAAAAGAGACACTTCTCCTGTGGTTCCTGTTGTGCTGCCTACAACTGTCCATGAGCAAACAATCCACCATTCGGCCTGGAGATCTTGGATTTGTCATTCATTGGAGTAAACAGTCAGTATACTGCCTGCCAACCTTGAGCTCCTCAGCCCCTACAGCTGCATGAATTGAGAAAAGCCTCCAGCTTGATGTTTGATCCAAGAACTTTGGACTTGCCAGCTTCTATAAGTGTGTGAGCCGTTTTCCTAAGATAAATTTCTCTTTCTCTCTCTATATAAGCTTTACCGGTTTTGTTTCTCTAGAGAACCAGGTCTAACACAGCCATAGTCTCAGGTTTCCCCCAGTCTTCATCAGACCAATAAGCCTGGTCTTTTAATGCTTTTGAGTTTTGTTTCACATTTTTCTCCTACTTTATCCAGGACCTCCTATTGTGATCCCTTTCAGAGTGGTAGTGGTAGCTGGGTACCATCTAGTTCTTCTGGTCTCAGGGTTGTGGAAGCTGAGGTTCATGTGGTCCATCAGTTCTCTGGATTAACTGTCTCCTTGCATCCTTGATTTTCCATAGGGTTTTCTCGGCTGTAATCTTTCCAGAAGCAGTTTGCAAGGCCTTTCTTCTTTGGAGCTGCTGGATGGGTTCAAACTGCCAACCTTTAAATTAGCAGCTGCTCACAAACTGCTTGCACCACCTAGGCTCCTTCAATCAAGATTACCCACACCCTAATTTTACAAGGTGAACATATTTAAATAATTCTGACTTCTGTAATAAAAAAAATAAGAAACAATTATAATGACAATGACTTATGTTGACATAATTAGAACCACCAAATGATATCTAGGCTAGTTTTAGTGCTATGTAATCCAATATAACTAAGAATCTTATTAATTACTGTGATGGTGATTTGGTTGCCATGAATTGCACATCTATCAGTTTGGGGAACTTTCAGAATAAGTTTAGTCAATACAAAAACCAAACCAAACTCACTGCCATTGAGTCTATTCTGACTCACAGCAAACCACTGGGCTTCCAAGGCTGTAAATCTTTATGGAAGCAGATTGCCCAATCTTTCTTCTGTAGAGAGATTGGTGGGTTTGAACCACTGTTGCAGGTCAGCAGCCAAATGCCTTAACCACTATACCACCAAAGCTCTTTACTGTCAGCCAATATTTCATATTTTAAAAAAATGTAATTGAGGCAACTGATAATAAAGCCTGGGCTTTTTAATAAAGACAACCACTTGAAAAATAATCCTTTTTTCTTTCTGGAAGTACAACAGCAATATAAAAGGTCAGATTTACTTGCTTATAAGAAATTGCCAGTTAATTTAAACATTATGCAAAACTACATGAAGCATTATGAAAAATTTAAATGAAAATGGAAGATGGACCATCCATAAATAACAAGTAAACATAACAACAACAACAACAACAAGCTGGTTCACACATCTATGCCAATACATTGTAAAGTATACAGGAAAATTGAATACAGATTCAAAGGTTACTTCCAAAAAAGTAAAAGAGATAACCTCTCTCCACTTTTCACTTCCTTACCTACTTCTCATCCACTATGTTGTTGTTGTTGTTATGTGCCGTCGAGTCAAACCCGACTCATAGCGACCCCTCCTTGGGTTTCCGAGGCAGTATCACTACGGAAGTAGGATTGCCCAACCTTCCTTCCGAGGAGTGGCTGGTGGGTTTTGAACCGCCAGCCGTCTGGTTAGCAGGCAAGTGTCTTAGCCACTATGCTACCAGAGCTCCCCTCATCCACTATATAAAACCAAAATCAAACTCAGTGCTACTGAGTAGATTCTAACACACAGCAACTTCCACTGTGCTTTCATTCTGCTTTACGTAAGCAGGCTCCCCCATGTTTCTTCTGCGGAGCAGCTGGTGGGTTTGAACCACCAACCTTCTGATTATCAACCCAATGCCTTAACCACTATACCACCAGAACTCCTTATTCTCTATGTTGTTGTTGTTGTTGTTATGTGCCGTCAAGTCGGCCCCGACTCATAGCGACCCCTCCTTGGGTTTCCGAGGCAGTATCACTACAGAAGTAGGATTGCCCAACCTTCCTTCCGAGGAGTGGCTGGTGGGTTTGAACCGCCAGCCTTCTGGTTAGCAGTCAAGTGCTTTACCCACTATGCTACCAGAGCTCCTATATAAAAACCAAATCCACGGCCATCGAGTCAATTCCAACTCACACAACTCCCACTGGTTTTCCAAGGCAGTAAATCTTTACAGTCTTAGCTCCCTGTAATAACACCAAGGGTCAGAATCAACATGACAGTAACTAACAGCAACGACAACATCACTTTAAGAGTTCCTGAGTGGAGTAGAGGCTCTAAATGAAAGGTGGGCAATTTGAATCTACCTGAAGCTGCCCGGCAATCTACATCGAAAAAGTCCCAGCTTTGAAAACCTGTGGAGCACAGTTGTACTCTGAAACACGTGAGACTCACCATGTGTCAGAGATGACTTGATGACAACTGTTTTTTTCTTTTTAATCCTCATTTTTGCCTCCACACTAAAACAAAACTACTGCCTCTAATATCAATAATGTCCTTTAAAAATGTATTAAAAGAAAACAACAGGGAACATTGGAACATTCTGAGGGTGCTGGTCTTGTTCTAGTCCTTGATGGTGGCTATGTGGGTGTGTTCACTTTGTGATAACTCACTGAGCTGTACTCTTACATTTGTGTACTTTCTGGGTTTATATTCCAGTTTTTTTAAAAAAAGGAAATAATTTCACAATTGCTAAGTATGGGTGAAAAACACAATCCTAAGGAAAATTATTTGGAAATTATTATTATAAATTCTTCATAATCCAACAATGTTAACTCAAAAATCCCAATCATCTTTCCATCTGATAATTACAACATCCTCCCAGATAGGTAAGTAATCTTATCTTCACTTTATAGGTGAAGAATCAAGGTCATTGGTTTGTAATGACACAGTCAGGGTTTAAATAGAGCACTATTTACTCAAAAGCTCATTCTTTTTCCATTATACAACATAAAGTATACAAGTCTTATGCAGTTGCAATCATGGGAAACATACTATTTTTACATTCATCTTAGGATTCCATTGTCCTCAAAGTTATCATCTTTAATTGCTGTGTAAACAATATCCCAATGTGTTGATGTGCCATAGTTCAACGAACCATTCTACTAAAGGTAGGTCTCTGGACGGATCATCTTTATGTTGCAGACAGCATCCTATTGCTCATTACTGCTTAATGTTTGATGTTTTCCAAATATGGCTCAATCTTCTCACATATCCTCACCCTTTCCCCAAAATATATAACAGAAAGTTTTAAGAGCTGTCAATTGCCAGCAAAACGATATTTTTATGATAACAAAACAAAACAAAACCACTCTCTGAACTCCAAGGCCCTTAAAATTACAACTTTGGGTTTCTCTTGTACTGTCTCTCACTCCTAACACCAGTCTAATTACTCATTGCCCCAAACTTTCCAAGCTTTCATAACTTATTGGTCTTATACATCTTTCAAACCTTGATACCTTAAACACCACCTCTTCCATGAAGCTTATAAACTCAGAATTAACTTCCTCCTCCATACGCCTCAAGACTATTTCCCTTTATTATAGCACATATTCTGTCCTGCTTTGTATTAATTACCTGTATGACTGCTTCTCATAGTAGATAATAAGCTCCTGAAGACTACTGAATAGTAGTCGAAACGAAAGGAATAAGCATAGGGCCAGAGGGAAAACTAAAAACCAGGCCACTTTGCTTCCAATGCCTACTCTGCCACCTGATCTTAGGCAAGTCACTTAATTTTTCTAGGCTTCAGTTTACCTATTTGTAAAAACTACAGCACTTCCATTTTTGAGACAAGATTTTAACACGGAGCAAATGAAAAAGTAGGGTCAACCGAATAAACATGGTTTGGCAACAAAATTTCAAAGGACACAAAATATGTACATACAAAAACTGTCTTCCTACATCCATTCAAACACATTCTCTCCACAGCAAACAGCAAATTGTACAAAACGCTAATGTTCTTCTACGCCCTGACTACGCAGCTCCTTTTGTGTCACCAATTCTCTTAACTGTATAACTTCTCTCATTCTCTGCGACCCAATCACAAAACAAAATCCTCCCTGAATTACAAAAATTGGGCCACTTAAGTGTAGCTCTTTTCGCTACTGTAATTTAAATAACTGCAAGATTGGTCTTCTCGAATAAAAAACAAGCTCCTTGAAAGTAGGGAGAAGTATCTGCCATCACAGCCTTATTCTCCGTGCTCAACACAGCGCTGGTCGCCCCAAGTAATCTCACTGCCTAGTTGCGTCAGAACGGAATGAATGGTGTCATTACAGTAAACGAAACCATTAGCCCTCCAGGCGGGTCTAGCCAAGGGCTCTTTGGGGGCTCTCCGCACAACTGGTTTCTCTTTTCTGGAATGCGTTATGACCACATCCCAAAAGGAAAAGTTCAGACCGAACCTCGATTGGAATAGGTTTCCCCGCTCCTCCCTTCCCGGGCTACAGCAGGGGGAGAAGAAGCCAAGAAGGCGCTGCTGGCCCAGCACAGACACGTGGGGGGCCGCAGGCGCAGCACAGCAGCCATGTCTTCACCACGCCTCCCCGAGTCTGACCTAGGCTCAGCAAGCCCCTCTTCCCTTCCTCGTCATCCCGCCTCTCACCTGGCGCTCGCCCTGTGCACTGTATTTATTCCCTTTACTCAGCCCTAGGGACTTCTCAAGCACCGTCAACTCTGCGGCTGCCGCCATCTTCCTGGGCGAGCTACTGTCAGGGGCAGGGCCAGAACAACAAGGACCTTCGCCATTGGCGGAGAGGGAAGTCCCACCCCCGTGAACGTCCCCGGCCATTGGCTCAGCGGACGGGGCGTGTACGGCGCGGCTCCGCGCAGAGGTGGGGCCAATGGAAGGGGCAGGACCTAAGGGGGAGTGGCATTGGTGGATAAGCAATTAACCTCAGGACTTCCAGCCCTTGGGGCTTTTGAGGGCACGCTTTGGAATCCACTCGCCTCAAGCGGGTGTAGGAAGACTGAATCTGACTTCTGAAGGACAGAACACTGGAAGCACCGAAAGACTTTATACATGATAGGACTCTAGTTTTCCTTAGGTTAACTAAGGGCTCTGAATTTGAACAATAGAATTGAATAGCAAAGAGTTCACAATCTAATGGACTTTCTAACATACAGTTTTATTCATGAGGATTTTAATAAATATAGTGTTGTAGTGGTGAATAGAAAAACTAATTTTTGTAGTGTCAGTATAAAGCAATAGTAGCAGGAGAATTATAAATTTAAAAACTAATTCATAGAGCCCTGGGTTTATTAGATCGCAGTCAAGTAATTATGATAGCCCAAGTATATCAACCACTAATGTTTTAATTTGTATTTCAATAACCAGGAGCTCTGATAGTGTAGAGCCTAAGGCATTTGACTGCTGACCAGAAGGCTGGTGGTTCAAAACCACCAGCCACTCCTTGGAAGGAAGGTTGGGCAATCTAATTCCATATGACACTGCCTCTGAAACCCAAGGAGGTGTGGCTATGAGTTGGATCCAAGGCAACTACAGTAAGTTTTTTTTTTTTTTTTCCCCTTTGTGGTGGTATTTCAACACCAGAGAAAGAAAGTAGTTGTATGGTTTATGTACCTAGAAGAGACACAATCAGAATGTTCCTTAGAAGTTAGGATGTCAAGACTTCTGCTGACTTCCTTTGATAGACCAGTCATTAGAAAAGCACAGCTGTCAATGAGATGGATTGATACACTAGCTACAAAAAGAGACTCAAACATACCAATGACACTGGATCAGGAAACATTATGTTTTGTTATACATAAGGTCTCCATGAGTCTGACCTGACTTGACAACAGTTAACAACAGCAAGAAGCATATAAATGAACAATGCACATAACATTTTTAAAAGATGCAAATATATTTCTAAGTTTCTATATTTTTATTTTTAAAGTAGAAAATGGGTCATGTAGGTTGAGGCCTTGAATCTTTCCAAAAGATTTCTGAAAATAAAAGATATTTTCCATGTTGAAGAATGAGTAAACAAAATGTATGTCAGTCTGAGAGAAACTGAAAAGAAGTACTGCAAGGTAATTCATGCCATCAATATTTCAAATGCCAGCAGGGTCACCCATGGTGGACAGGTTGAAGTTGAGCTTCCAGACTAAAGACAGATGAGGAAGGAGGACCTGGTGATCTACTTCCAAAAAAATTGGCCAGTGAAAAGTTTATGCTTACTACTCTAGAGGGTCAGTGAAAAAGGTGAAGACCCTCAATGAGATGGATTGACATAGTGACTGCAATGATGGGCTCAAGAAAGCAACGATTGCGAGGATAGTGCAGGACTGGGCAATGCTTCATTCTATTGTACACTGGGTCGCTATGAGTTGGAACTGACCTGATAGCATCTAACAACAGCAACAATAGTTCATCTCTGAATCAGAAATATAGAAGTTTAATGGGGAATGCTATCACTGTGAGAGACCTCCTGACCTCAATATAAACAAATGAACTAACTTAGGCAGCAGAAGTAAACTTAAAGCAAAGAAAATTGGGTCGAATCAACACAAATGAAGTACAAAGGAAATTCCAATACGAATGGGTTTGGTCCTGAATTACCTGTTTAATTTTTACTACACAAAAAAATTGAATGACTCTTCTACTTCCTTAAAAATTCTGAGAGAATTCACATATCTATATTCAGGGTTTAGGTACACCTTGCTTGTAATTAATTTTTTTAAAATTTTACATTTATCTAATTCCAATTTATGATATATTTAAATTGAGATGATCTAAATGGTAGAGCTGAGCTGAGTCTATGTACAAACTATCTGAAAGGATATTTCCCCAATTTATATGAGTTTTGACATTTGAAATTGAGATAAATGGGTAGAATAATACTTTTTAATTTGTGAATTTTTTTAAAAAAATATTTTTTCCTCTGTCAAACCTATACATATTCAGGGATGTGGCCACATTCCCCTTCCCATCCCTATTTAGTTTGATTGTCTATCTATGTATGTATCCACTCATAGATTATTGTTACTACTGTTATTTTTAGGATTGGGTTCTTCTTGTTAGGTACTGTCAACCCAGCTCCAACTTATAGCAACCCTACGTACGAAAGAATGCAACACTGCCCGGTCCTGTGCCAGCCTCACACTCCTTGCTAAACCTGAGCCCATCATTGCAGCCACTGTGTCAGTCCATCTTGTTGAGGGCCTCCCCCTTTTTCACTGACTCTCCACTTTACCAAGCATGAGATCCTTCTCCAGGGGATGGTCCCTTCTGACAACATGACCAAAGTAGGTGACATGAAGTCTTGCCATTCTCACTTCCAAGGAGCATTCTGGCTGAATTCTTCCAGGACAGATTTGTTCATTATTCTGGATGTCCATGGTACTTTCAGTATTCTTCGCCAACACCACAACTCAAAAGCATCAATTCTTCTTTGGTCTTCCTTATTCATTCTCCATCTTTCACATGAATATGAGGTGATTGAAAACTTCCTAACTTCGGCTAGGCATACCTTAGTCTTCAAAGAGACATCTTTGCTCTTTAAGAGGTCTTTTGCAGCAGATTTGCCCAGTGCAATACATCACCTGATTTCCTGCCTGCTGCTTCTACTGCTGTTGATCATGGAATCAAGTAATAGGAATTATTTTATTTTTTATTGTGCTTTAGGTGCAAATTTACAAGGCAGAGTTTGTTTTACATCCAACATTTCATGTACATTTGGTTTCACCCCCCAATTAACAGCCACAACCCTAACCCACTCTCCTCCCCTCCATTCCCAGTAACCACCTCCCGCTCACCACTGCCCCCCCCATGCCACTCATAGTTATGCACTCTTGTGTGTCCTGCATTTCCTCCGTGTGAATGTTACCCTTCTGCTGCCCCGTGGTCAATTGCTCCAACGGATGCATCTCCATAGAGTAAGTGGGTGCATCACCCTGGGTTGAGTGGTCTGCGTGTACATTTTATTTACCATTGGGCTGAGAGCCAGCCCCTGGGAGTAAGTTTTATTCCAGGCCTGAGTGTATCCCAGGGCCATAGTATTGGGGGTCCCACTGGACTCCATCTGACCAGTAATTCTGGTCATTATTGTGTTTTCGGATTTTGTTCCACATTTTTCCTTCCACTCTGTCCGGGATCTCCAGTTCTGATCCCTTCCCGAGTGGCTGGCATTGGTAGCTCGGCACCATCTTGTTCTTCTGTTTTCAAGGTCCATCATGTCCTAGGCCTGATTGTTTCCAAATGCCCTTGGTTTTTTGCACTCTTCTTCGCTTCCGACAATAGGAGACCATTAGCTGCATCTTAGATGGCTGCTTGAAAACTTTTCAGACCCCAGTCGCTACCCACCAATGTTGGTTGCGGACCAAGATTTTTATGTATTTTGTTGTGCCTATTGAGTCTCGTGTCCCCCAGAACTATAGTAGATCTGTGGCTCTCTCTCCCACAGTGTCTGGCTGTGTGTGAGGGATTGCTCTATGTCTGTCTTCTGTTGTATCTGTAAGGATAGTGGGTATTGTATATCACTGATATCTGTGTAAGATTAGCCTCAGCTGAATCTATCCTTGGTCTAGAGTATAATCCTGTTCGCTGACCCCCATCTGATCTTCTCAGATGTTTATGTATTTATCTGTAGCCTAGTGTTAATGGTAATGCAGTATTGTGGATATATTGGTATTAGCCCCTGTTGTTTATATCTTATGTGCACAATTCGGTGCCATCTCTTTCCCCAATGTTTTCATGGTGGTCACAGACTCTTTCCATACCATCCCTCCCCTTACCCACATCAGCATGTGGCACCCAACTAGCCCGAAATTATTCTCTCTCCTTCCCTTCCTACCCCAGTAGCCTACAAAGTGAGTTCCCTTCCTTTAGCAAACCCTTCCTTGTCTTTCTACAGTAATGGACTCATACAATATTTATCCTTCTGCGATTGACTTACTTCTCTCAGTATAATATCCTCCAGGCTCATCCACATTGTGGGATGATTCACGTATCCTTCATTGTTTTTTAGTGTACATAGTATTCCATAGTCTGAATGTATCATAATTTGGTTATCCATTCCTAGTAGTGGGATTGCTGGTTCAAATGGTATTTCTATTTTCAATTTTTTAAGGAAAAACCATACCATTTGCTACAATGGTTGTACCATTTTACAATCCCCCCAGCAGTGTATGAGATTTCCAATCTCTCCACAACCTCGCCAACATTTATTATTTTCTGTCCAGTTGAACTTTGCTGTCATTGCTGGGGTGAGATGATATGTCATCATTGCTTTGATTTGCATCTCTCTAATGACAAAAGATCACGAACAATTCCTCACGTGTTTGTTCACCACCAGTATATCGTCTTTAGTGAAGTGTCTATTCATGTCTCTTTGCCCAATTTTTGAATTGTAGTGTTTGTCTTTTTGGTGTTGAAGTGTTGAAGTTTTCTATAAATTTTGGAGATAAGTCCTTTGTCAGACACGTCATAGGCAAATATTTTCTCCCAATCTGTAGGTTCTCTTCTTACTCTTTGATCAAGTCTTTCGATGTGCATAAGAATTTAATTTTTAAAAGGTCTCAGTCATCTAGTGTCTCTTCTATCTCCTGCGCATTCTGGGTTATGTTTGATAGTCTATTTATGCTATAAATTAAGGTTCCTAGATTTGCCCCTATTTTATCTTTGATGAATTTTATAGTTTTGGGTTTTACATTTAAGTCTTTAATCCATCTTGAGTTTGTTTTTGTGTATGGGGTGAGATATGGATCTTGTTTCATCATTCTGCAAGTGGATATCCAGTTTTGCCAGCGCCATTTGT